AGTTTTGCCAAAATTATCCAGAAGAAGGAAAATATAAAAATAAAATTTTATTAGCAAAATGTAAACAGTGTATGGGATGGTTTTAACCAACAAAAAAAAAAGTTCTTCCTAATTAAATTTCAAGCATTTAAAAATGCTTGAAATTTAATTAGGAAGAACATTTTTTTTAGAGAGATTTCAAGGCAGTGGAGGGTGTAATAAACATAAAGAAAAACAGTTAATTTTCCCTGAAATTTATATTTTTTCGTGGCAACGGGTGCACTAATTCGCCAAAAATAAAATTTTTATTCTTAATCATCATTATTTTCGTTAAAGAATGTATAAAAAAGTCTCGCCTAACTTATCACACATTTAAAGAGAATGTTACTTTTAGCAATGGTACAGTACATTGTAATATAAAGAATTGAGTCACAATTAATTTGCTAATATTGCACCACTAAATTTAAAGCAAATAAATTTTCAAAAAAAAAAAGTACAAATCTAACATTTCTTATTTACTTATCTAAATTTTTATTTAGTTGATTTATTTACTGTGTAGGTTAAGTACACATACAGTCTAGGTTTTATAGATCACAACTTGTTGGTATTGTTTATCCTGTTTCATTTCATAACTATTTATTACTTTGATCTCTGCTTTTATCAACATAACATCAATGGAATCCTACAGTAGATCATAAACCACCAACTAAATTTTTTCACTTACATATTTTCCAAATAGGGCACCCATAATGACAATAATATTTTAATGAAAAAAAAGCATAGATTAGTCATACTGTAGCATCGTGGAGGTTACACTATAGTATTAATGGACTTGTTGCCACTAAAATAGTGGTTAACCTCAGGCTTATTATATTAAGTATAATAGCACTACACACTGTGTGATATAGTACTGTACAGTAAATTGTATTTATTCAATAATACAATAGAGTCTTATACCATTCTTTAAATAAAAATAAAATTCTATATCTGTCCTTCACTTCAACATGTTTTGCAAGGAAACTTGTTTGTACATTAAAATACATTAAACATTAGTTAAGAATTATATCAAATCATTGTAGTTACTTTTTAGAAATAGTATCTACAATGTAGGCCTAAATATAATTGAATTACATTAAATTTGTAAATCTTGTACAGTATCATTAAATTTAAAGCCCACATTTTCTATAAACTACAAATGAGTACAAATCTATCATTTCTATTGATTAATATAAATTTGTATTTACTTAATTCATTTATTTGAGATACAAGCCCTGTTTTCTACTGTCATAGCTTCTCTCATACCTGTACTATAATTTACTATTAAATTTGAAAGTTAAAAAAAAAAAATTACTATCAAATGCAGAAATCATATAATTAGTTAAGAAACGTCTTGGATATACAAGTGAAGGATACTGTTCCGTATTTACTGTATCTTCAATCATCTGTTAGAGTATGTATCACCATGCTTGTGACAGTCTAAAGACTAATTTGAAGTTTGGTTTGATATATAGCATGTATATCATGGACTAAAGAAATGCCAATAGCAACTCACACAACTGTAAAAATAGTAAATTCTTTTTGCTGAAAATGACAGAAGCCTAATTTGTTCATGTTTGAACTTTTCAGATTTATTATTAAATATTTCTGATTACTTTGCTTCAACAATGTAGATGATGACTGTAAGTCACATCTACACTGTATGTTTTTTTAAAAATTGTGAAAAAGACAATTTATTGAGTGCTGTAACACATTTTCATCATTCTTTAAATTTTGTAAATGCTTTTAAATTCTATAAAAACTGTTTAAAAGGTAAGAAAACTGTAAAAACTTAATCAAAGAATAGTATAAGAGTTTATACATTGTCAGCTGTGATGCAGATCGGAATAACAAAATTCAAAATGTCAAAATTAGGCCTGTGTTAATATTAAAATTATCTGAAAAGATTTGCATGTTCTACAATTAAAAGAAGATTAATAAAGGATTAAAATAATCAGGCAGTGTAAAACATTAAATTTTACAAAGGATTGCTAGTAAAAAATAATAATTTTAACTTTCACTTATTAAAATTAACAGTGTGATATCACTTCATGTTGTCCGTAGCAGTGTCTTTGTACTTTAATTATTATAATGAATAATTAATTTTAATAACTTGTACTGTATGTCGGGGTCAAAAGGAAATAGATAAACATACACATAATATATATATATTATATATACATATATATATATATTAATTAAAATAAGTAAGTTAATAAATAAATAGTTTAGTTTCTTGTCTGAACTTATAAAAAAGAAAAGGAGAAGATCCCATTTTATTGACGACTTTTCATCACACTAAATTATGCTCAGTAATAACAGTTTTATTAATGGAATCTGCTATACACAGGCCAAAGTAGAGATGCTATCATATATAGTGAGGCACGGTAAATTTATCCATACCATAATTATGGATAAAAAATGGGTATTACCTGTATGACTTTTTTTTTTAAATGAATCAAAATACTTGAAATATTTGAGAAGCAAATATAAACTAATTTTTGGTTCTGGTTGGCCTTATACTGTTATGACTTTATTTTTTTTAATGAATCTATCAAAATACTTGAAATACCTGATAAGCAAAAATAAAATAATTTTTGGTTCTGCTTGGCCTTATATTGGTATTATGACTTTATTTCTCCTAAATGAATCAAAATACTTGAAATAATTGAAAAGCAAAAATAAACTAATTTTTGGTTCTGCTTGGCCTTATACTGTACATTAAATTGCTATTATGGCAAAGAAATGTGACACAGTATACTAAAAAAAATTGGTTCAAAATATCTCATGAATATTCATAGATCATTAAGGAATGCATATCACAATGGGATTGCATTTGAAAGTGAAGAATGTCAATGGAAGAATAAATGCCCTCAGATAACTGAACTGATATATGCTCATATATAGTCATGATGTGCCTATATTTGGTCAAGATGTGATGTCATCATTACTGTATTTAGGCATGTCACATGTTTAACAAGGCTTAATGAATTTGTAAAAGCTTTTTGCCAACTAAAAATTTGCTAGGAATTATGAATTGATATTAATGGTCCTATTCAATTTATATTTATAAGATTATAAAATAAATATATTCTGAAATTTAATCTGCTGAAGTATATGTTTTGCTAAAGAAAAACAGCTGCAACCATGAAAAACATAATTATAATATGTTTTGCATACGAAAGAAAAGTTAATACAGCCGGCATTGAATTTCATAGTGGTCATCTTCAATTATAATTTATATCTAATTCTGTGGTTGCTTCTTGAAATTTTAGGCAAGAAAAAACAGATCATGTATTTTCAGATCTAAAATGGCTGTATTCTTGCATAATTGGTTTGAGTAGTGGCATGTTATTGCAGTATTGAGTACTCAAAAATGTAATCTTGTATGTTATTTCAAAATATGCTTGTGCATCCCACCCCTTGAAATTTGATTGGAATAACTGTGCGTTTTAGTATTTTATATTTAACTTCACTATGGTCACATAGCTGAAACAGCTACCTTGCAGGCAAATTTAAGGGTATTTAAAGCTTCAATTTTAAATATTTAATGCATGGAGATAACATTGGGTTGTTTCAATACAATACAAAATACCTTTATTCATCCCACATGGGGCAAAAAAGAGTGTGGATTACAAAGCTTAAAAATGTTTAAAACTTTTCAACAAAATACAATACAATCACTAATACAATTTGAATTTGTTATTTCAAAAGTTGATGAGCAACTACTGTAGCATAACAAATTTCTTTTCCAATTTACAGTAGTTCTACAGTACTTGGAGACATTAAAAATGGCGACCATAAGGTAAAAGCTCAAACTTACTGAACAAAGCGCAAGTTATGTTATTGCAAAATTTTTTTATACATTCATAATTGAAAATTTGCCAGTGAAGCCAATTAGGTTTCTATTCCTGTCGGTTTATTTTTTTTACTGCCACCTTTAATTTAATTGAATTTCTGAATGGCTCATTTAAATGACCAAATAACTAAATGGTTAATGGTTTAATTTAAATGACCAAATAAGTAATTGGTTAATGGTTTAAAACTTACATCTCGCAAAATACAAAAGTCTCTATGCGCTGTAAACACAAGTGTAGCGATGTTTGGAAATGTGAAAGAATAAAAATATACAATGGAAGTTGCAAGCCTATAAAATTCCAACCAGAAACAGATTTTCTAAAAATAGTTTTCACTTTACAACAAAAATCCTTAAATGGATTACAAAACAAGCCAATATAAGGATTACGGCAATGATAAATAACAAACTGTTTATTGATGAGGATTTTTCTTTCTCAATCTCATTCAAAAATGTTTAATTGCAGCCTAATAACATAAACTTAACTATACTACTGTATACTAGGCCTAGAGGTGTAGATGCAGTATCCCGGCCGTGTTGCCAAATAATTTCTTGGTCCCTAGTAGTAATTTCTTGAAAGTAAAAGTAATCGGTAACTATCATCAGACATTTCCCAACATTAATATTTTTTAACATAACATAGGCTAGTGCATTTAAGATAGCGAGACTGCCAGCAAGCCCCACCAATCAGTTCCTCAGATTTAAATTTTTTTTAAATGGTCAGAGTATATTCCTATGGCCACATTTATGATTTCCCTCCCCTGCCCCAGTCAGTTTACTGAGTATTATCTACTAGGCTAGCCTTATGTCAATTTATATAGTCCATGCATAGGAGAGTAGGCAAGGGCCTAACAAAATTTAGACTAAGCCTAAGCTTAGGCCTAGGCTAACTAGGGTACTGTAGCTGAAGAAGGGTCAGAACTGGCTTAGCCCGCAGCACCCGGCGTATCCAATTTGCTTCCGTGCAGCTGAAAAGCAATCCGTCCCTGGAATAAACACAGACTCATCAAGGTAAAAAACGCTAGGCTAGGTAGATGCCCACGTTTCTGTCAATGTTACTTACGCTACAATTGCATCAGTGCATATCAAAACTACACATAAAAACAAAATGTAAAACTTAATCACTTACCAGGTTGAAAACTGTATCAAAAATATCCCTGTCTGTAACTTCCTTCACTTCCATCAACCCTATCAAAATTCCGAACTTCACCTTCGTCGAGGCGTTCGCCGATGCAGGCATATTGTCAGCAAATATATCCTTTTTCTGAGAAACTACCTCCTTCGTCTCCTCATCGGCCATAGCTGCTAAATTATGATCCTTCGTAAGCCTTCCAATGCGTAATTGTTTCCGAATTCAGTAACAAATTTATTCGAAAATTGCTTAATAGTAATACACTCCCAGGCAATTTACCAAGAAAGCTGCCATAATTTCTGCTAGCTAGCTCGGTTGGTTGAAGTGTTTGTATTTATTTACGCCACGTATTTACATCATTACTATAAAATGCGCTTTAAATATACAGAACATCGTCGACACTACCTTTAGCAATTAATAATGGTGATAATTGAAATGTGGATGATATGTATATTCGCCATGCTATTTATTGAATAAGATGACATTTTTATTTGTACTTTATTATGAATGGACAGTCAAATGTTATCAACAATAATAGTATAGTAATATTATAGTATTTGTTTATATTTTATGTACGGCTGCATACGTGATTTTATTATCAGGCCTATGATAATTAATTATATTCAGTATTTATTTATCAACTCAAAATCCTCTTTACCCATTAGTTAAGTTCCTTTAAAATTAACTTTTCAGTCGGTGATCAGGGGCGGATCCAGAGATGTCTAAAAGGTGGCCGAAAGGGGGGCCAAATTCGGGCCGATCGAGACAACAATGTCCTAGGGGGTCCGGGGGCATGCTCCCGCAAAATTTTTGTGTTCTAGACGCCCGAAAATAACATTTGAGGCGTTGTGGGCTATCATTTTTTTTCTTTTTCTTTCTTTTTTCTTTTTTTTAGCTTACCAGGGGCGGATTTAGGGGGGCAGCCCGCCCCCCCTAAATCCGCCCCTGGTGATGTTCAATTCTTTAACTTAAGATTGACTGCGCCACTTTCCTGTTTGATGCCACCGACAAATTTGATGTTACAGTAACTTTTAATTACTTAATAATGTATAGTCATAGCAAAACCAAAGGAATAAATTCATGAATATTAATATCTATAGCAATCCAGTCTGGAGTAAATCTTTATCAGTAACATTTAAAAAAAACAAGTAAATAAATTTAATAAATTTTAAAAACTATGAAATGCGTAATTATTTTAATTTTAGTGTTGCCCCTGATGAGAAAGTGAAAGAAGTAATAATATACTGCCCTCTCTATTATTTTAGGAATCGAAAAAAAAAGAAGTCTTGAGACTCTTGGGGGCAGTGTTAAAGAAGGGAGCGGTCGAAAGAAAGATGACACTAGAACAAGCACAAGAAGAACCCAAAAAGGAGGTAAAAAAGGTCAATTCTCTCTTCAATATATTATTTTCAACCAATAACATGTAATTAAAGATGCAATGTTTACTACTGTATTTGTATAGTTATTTGTCTTTCAATAGATAACTCATAAACTTGTCATGTAAAATGTAGGCCTAGGCCCTCGCTCTGTCTAGATTAGGCTAGCTAGGCCTAGGCGCACGTTGACGATGAATAGGTACGGGAACATGATTGAATGAATGCGGTTTGTAAGGCTGCCACATGCACCTTCCTTTTCCTTGGTCTTGAATTGAATATCTCGTATCTTTGGTGTCTTGGAGTTTTGTGCCTTTGATTAGGATATTAAGTTTATTAAAACTGCCTTTTATGTTTTATTTTTATTCAATATTTAATTAGATATTCTTTGTTAAATTTTTTTTTTTTTTTTTTTGTATTGTACACACTCATTTTCTAGTTTTCAGGAGGCCTCAAATATGGTAGTGGGCCTTCCTCCTATAAATATAGTATTTAAATAATTATTACTATTATAGTCCTAGGCTATGTATCCAATGACCAGGGAGTAAAAGTGCTGCAAACTCCTGTAAAAAGTGCTATAAATGCTAAAATAATTAATTCCAAACATTATCTTACTATCATATCACTAAGAATTCATCGCAGGTCACACACAAACTGTAGCTTTTAATCCCTCAAATCACTTTTTTTCTGGTACTTATATCAGCTGATTCCTAACTTCCTAGGTGAGCAACTGGCTAAAAAATGTATTTACAGTATAGTTAACATAGGCTACCTTAACTTAAGTTAAATTGATGGTTAGTGGATGTTGATGGTTACACTGGAAAAGCACCCTACCCTAGAGTTAGTGAGGGGCTGATCAGAAAAAGGGGTATTGTTTTCTTTCTGATTACCATCAATAATCATGTAAAAAAATATAATTCTTGAGATTTAAAGTGCATTTAGCAGCCTGATTTTTACCTTAGGCTAGAGGGGTCTTACTGTATGTTGAATGACATACACCTGTTTTTTTTATATCAAAAAGTTTTAATGTTTGTTGTAGGCACCACCTCCACCAGCCCCAAAGCCAAAAGATGAGCGAAGCCTACATTTATCTGGCCATGTTGGATTTGATAGTCTGCCAGACCAACTGGTCAACAAATCTGTTGCCCAGGGTTTCTGCTTTAATATCCTGTGTATTGGTAAGTGTCATTTCTTACTTGTATCTTACTTGTATTCTTGGGCCGTTGTGAAGCATGAATACTTTTATGGCCCACTCTTCCTCAGGTCACAATACTACTTTATTGTGGTGTAAACATTTTGATTTGTTCATTTGTGTTAATATGTTTATTTATTTTATTTCAACAATGTTTTTTTGGAAGTAGTCCGTTCAACTAAAGCTAATCATTTGTGAGGGACTCTCAGTACATTTAAAGAAGTACGATACAAAACAAAAAAATACAAATAAACATATAAAACAATAGCAAAATTATAATAATAATGATAAATTGAAATTGAGCATGCTGAGGATTCTATAAAAAGAAAGCTTATATATAAATAAAATAATTTTAACACAAAATAAACAAATACTTTTTCCTTTAAATTATTTCCTATTTTTGTGTTGATAGGTGAAACAGGACTTGGTAAGTCGACCATGATGGATACCCTATTCAACACACATTTTGAAAGCACACCTACACGACACGATTTACCTGGTGTTGAGATCAGCAGCAAGACACATGGTGAGTGTTCAAGTTGACTTGTTTTGTTTCAGATCTTTGATGACCTGGCCATCCTGAGTTCTTGCTAAGCTCTTATACTAAGCTTGTGTTGACCTTTGTATTTTTGAACTTTATTGGTCACTGGCCATTGAGATTGTAGCAGTCTATGAGCCACTTTGCTTGACAGAATTTACACTTAGGAAAAATAAATTTAAAAAATTTAAGTTATTTAAAATGATGTACTATAGTTATATCATGGAGGTATTATTGAGATGGAGATCACTTGGCAACAGATCCCTTTGACGCGACAAACCAATGTGTTCCCTGCCTTTGGATCGCACGTGGACGTATTACTTAATCATTCACATTTTTTCGTTAGCAACAACTTGGCCACGACATGTGTTTATATGTTTCAGCACAGCAGTTATGCGATAAAACGTTTGATTTTAACCCATTAAATATCTTTATAATTAACAATGTTCTCCTGATTGGATTTTTTTTGGACTTTTAGTATGTTATTATGTGTATATTTCAGGAACAGATTCCGCAAAATATTCTTGGAACAATTACTTCTGTGTTAATTATAATTTCGTCTAAAGATCGATTGGTTCGACTATAAAGCTAAGGCAGCGTAAAACTGAAAATTACTCTGATTTTGGATTGAATTTTCAAATAGTTAACCCTCATTAAACCCTAAAATGACTTAGTTTATTATAATCCTCAATCATTTATTAATTAATAAATGATTGAGGATTATAATAAACTAAAATGACTTAATTTATTATAATCCTCAATCATTTATTAATTAATATCTGTTAAAATTAGAATTATCAAATTTTATCCAATTTATGGAAATTGAAGTTGAAATATACTATACTTTCAAAGCTCATGTAAATGTTTCATTAAATTCGATATTCTTTTTGTGGAAAATATTAATATGTTTGCTATTTCATGAGAGATAAATGTATCAGCTTCAAAATGGAAACGATTGCGCAGCCATAGTGATTGACTGTATGTAGTGCGCATTGAGAAAAGAAGGTGCTCACCATTTCGCCATGTTCAATTTTTTTGTAAACTAAGCCTGCTGAGCATTTGATGGCGGGAAACACATCAGACTTCAAAGGCATCGTGCAAATCATAGTCATATTCGTCAATAACATATTTCGTCCTCTGCCTAGGTGTTTTCTAAGTTTAACAATTTTACTATTAATAAAGAAAACATTTTTCCCCACATACTCTCAGAAGTTTTCAGTAAACAGGGTATAACAGGGTACAAATAATAACTTTGTTACAATAATTTTTGGGTCAATATTTCCTTATGTAGGCAGCTATCTTATCTGTTATTGAATTTATTACTTTTAACAACAATACTGTTCATTGTTTAAAGAATTACAGTGGTGGTTATGAGGTTTTTCACTTCCCGTATAGAAGTGATAATAAGAATAGAATTTTAACCTGGTTAATCGGACCACTAAAGTAACGCCATAGCTTTAGAATGATTCATATAATATAGTTGCCTCAGATCATATCAACTCAGAAATATTTGCTGGACAATTGTAACTTATAGTAGAGAATTTCTTAGATTTAAACACAAAGAAAAGTGACATGCATGAGTTCCTCCACAGTGAGACTTTGTTCTGCCTTAGGGAATCCTTATGCTAATTAGCAAATGATGACTCATTTGATGATGGCAAACTAATAAGGTCATATGCAAATTATGATATTGTTAATCGATGTTAAATGATAATTTGTAATCTTTGCTGAGTTTTATTATTACTTGTGTATAGGCATGGTATCTCATTTCATTATTTTACTTTTAGGCATCATCTCTTTGTTGCATTGTGGTATTTTGTAAACTAACCACAGACTTGTCCTCTAAAATTATTGTGGAGGTTTTTCTACCTTGTAGATTATTATTATCAAAGATCATTTGATATTAATTTCCATTGTTAACAGTAATTAAATTCCTAAGGCAGAACTATGAAGAAATATTTATATTGGTTTACTGTATATATGCTTTATACAAGAAGGTTAAAAAATAATTTTTATTTTAAAGTATTTTAATACCTCCTGGCTTTATGCAGTTTGAAGGCATTTTTATGTATTTAGACCATAATAAGAATTGTTGTGATCTAATTACATAAAAATGACTTCAAATGGCTTAAAGCCAGGAGGTATTAAAATAACTTTAAAATAAAAATTATTTTTATTGAGAAGTTTAGTATGATATTCCATGTGGGCATTGATTTAGTTTTTTTTTTTTTCTGGTCTGCTTTAAAGGAAGTGGGGCAGACGTAAATATCTTATCACGGATCTTAGTATCAGTGATCTTCCAATTGGTGATATTAAGGTTACATGGATAGGGAGATAGTTGGGCCTTATGATATGCAAATTAATAAGGTAACTGTTGTATGCCCATATATAGTTATGAGGTGCCTATATATGGTCATGGTGTGATGTTAGCCTGACCATTTTGGGCATGTCAGAGTCTGTACTTAGTAATATGCAAATTAATAAGGTGAATGTTTCCTTTCCATAGAGCTTCAGGAAAGCAATGTACGACTGAAGTTGACTATCGTGGACACGGTAGGCTTTGGAGATCAAATCAATAAAGAAGAGAGGTGAGGCAACCATATATAGTCATGAGGTGCCTATAAATGGTCTCATTTTGACCATATTTAGGCATGTCACATGATTTTGTCAAATAAGTCCGGGCTTAACACTTGGCCTATTCCTAGATAAGTAATCTAAATAAATGTTTTACCTGGAAATACAAACAAGTGACATATTTTTAATTAAAGCCAGGTTCCGGAGAAAACAGTATGTATATTACAGCATAAACTATTAGATAATTGGCCTATAATCGTCTACATCACTATTGTATTGCTTATATTGTACAGTATACAACTTGCAACAGCCAATCTTGTGCATTCAGTAAAGCTGATAAAGGCCAGAGGACTGTCTGAAAATTTCAAGCGAAAATAAATACAGTGTTCAACAGTCTACATGCCTTGTTGTCATAATTTTTTGTTTCAACGACTAATATATAATTTGAAGAACACACATGGATTTACAATGATATATATATATACTGATATATACTGATTTTGAATATTCGGATTTTGAATATTTAAAAAGTGGGGCGTAACCACCCTTTTTTCAACCTTTTCATCCAAGTTTTTAATTGTTAAAAAGGCTGTATCTCATTAACCGCTTGCATGTTTTTCATTAAATAAGCTTTTCATGTCTTAGAAAAATCAGTTTTACAAGATATCAGCAGAATGTTTTTCTCCCTATCCACGCTTTAAAAACCCTCGATTTTAAATTTTACTTTACTGCAAAATTGCTGATACATAATTACTGTAGGTATATTAGAGCATAAATTTTATTTTAATTTTATATTTTGCTAATTATATTTTAATTATACAGTATGCTAATAAGATGTTGTGCCAATTTTATTTGATATGCATAAATACATTAAACAATATTAAAAAGCAAATGATATAATAATGTATTCATAATAAGATATTGATAGGATATATAATAATATATTAATAATGCACTACTTTTCATAGCAGATGGCTGTTCATATGTTCTGTGCCTTGAGATTTCTCTAAAATCAGTTTTCCTTTTGAAATGCCAATATATTCCTTATTTGGTAGCAAATTTATTTGGCACAAACGTTATCTTGATTGCATTCGGGAGTTGGGACCGAAAGTATTATAATAAAAGAAAACGTTTAATGTTATTGTTAAATTAGTTGTAACATTATGCTTTCTATAAAGAGATTTTTTGCTTGAAAATGGTAGGTTTAATTTGTTGAATATTTAATACCTTAAATCCTTGAGTAAGCACAGCAGTTCGTATAACATTTTTGGAGGCTTCAGTGCGGCGCTATTTCAAGAGCACTGCTTTTTCAAAAACGGCACTTTTTCTTTTTAGGATTTACAGTACATTTGAGATAACACCAATATAAAAAAAGATTAAATCAGATATATTTCCCTTTTTTTTTCAGTTACAAGCCAATTGTTGATTTTATTGACCAACAATTTGAGAATTACCTCCAAGAGGAATTGAAAATCCGTCGCTCAATTCATTTGTACCACGACACACGAATCCATGCCTGCCTCTACTTCATCGCCCCTACTGGACATGGACTTAAGTCTCTGGACTTGGTCACTATGAAGAAATTAGACAGTAAAGTGAATATCATCCCGGTCATAGCCAAGGCGGATACAATCTCCAAAAGTGAACTTCATAAATTTAAGATCAAGGTACGAAAGATATAAGATTATTATTATTATTATTATTATTATGTTACTAAAACCTACTTTATGGGGAACTTAGACAATGGAGGAATTAGAGAAAAATTAAAAAAACAATCTCCAAAAGTGAACTTCACAAATTTAAGATCAAGGTACAAAAGATATAATAAGATTATTATTATTATTATTATTATTATTATTATTATTATTATTATTATTATTATTATTATTATGATGTTACTAAAACCCACTTTAAGGGGAACTTAGACAATGGAGGAATTAGAGAACAATTAAAAAAACGATGTTAAGGGGAAAATTTAACACAAAATATATCCCCCTTAAATCCGATTTAGAGAAATTATTATTATTAATATTATTATTATTACATTATTATTAGCCTAGAATTTGTGCTGCCCAATTGCAGGGTTAATACGTCAAGAATTTATTAATTTATGAACCTTATGAATTTGGGCAAATATACAAGAACTATGGCTTATTGTATAATTACATAAAATATTAATTTATTTTAATTGTAACTACACAATGAAGTTGTGTTTGTCTCATTCATGTCAAAACATGTACCCCTTCTCTTTTCACCAACTTGGCATCCTTTCAAGTCCTTCCCATAGTTTCATTTTCATCAGCCAGCTCCATACATCCACAACACCTGCCTAGCCTCCTTCCTCTTAACCTTAAGTGCTATAAATATACCTCAAAGGGTAACATATTTGTCTGTTTTATTTTTAAATAGATTATGAGTGAACTTGTAACAAATGGCGTACAAATCTACCAATTTCCAACTGACGATGAAGCAGTCTCAGGACTGAACACAACAATGAACGTGAGTAATTCGTTAAGTTAATTAATGTTAATTTAATTAAATGATTATCATAAATGAATGATTATGACTTATCTCAATTCTACACGTTGCTTAATCTGTTTCTTTTACTTTAACAATGTTTTTAATTAATTAAAAACAAATACAGGGTCATCTTCCATTTGCTGTGGTAGGCAGCACAGAGGAGATCAAATTAGGAAACAAGATGGTGCGTGGGCGCCAATACCCCTGGGGAACCGTACTAGGTAAGACCACTCATTGCTTATAATACAAGTCTCCCTCTAATTAAAGACCACCTCCAATTAAAGGTCACTTTGCTGTGGTCCCAAATTAACAACTACTGTAATGTCTTTATCTTCATTGTTATAATTGTGAACCAACGCAAATTTGGGAAGTGGTCTTTAATTGGAGGGAGATCTGTATTGTTATTTTCTGATTTTTTTATTTTCATATTCACTAAATGAATCTACCTACCTACCTTGAATCTAACATGAATTGGAGTCTAATAAGGAAGGTCTTTGATTTGTTAACACAGGATGGCAATACACTCCAAACATTGCATATGCTTTGCGTAAAGAAATTTTGCCGAACTCATAGATAGAACAAAATACCGTTATATTATAAAAGAGAGAATATTATAGATTTGTGTTGTTTAATTGAATATATTTCTATTCCTAGTGGAGAATGAAAATCATTGTGATTTTGTGAAGTTGCGGGAGATGCTGATAAGGACCAATATGGAAGATCTGATTGAAGTGACTCATACAAGTCACTATGAACTATACCGCTGCTGCAAGCTGGAGGAAATGGGATTCCAAGACAAAGGGCCAGGAAACAAACCAGTCAGGTAAACAATGTCTCTTAGACTGAGCACTGTCCACAACTATCATATTTTCTTTGACAAATAACTGTTGTATGCCCATATATAGTCATAATTTGCCTATATTTGGTCATGATGTGATGTCATCATAACCATATTTAGGTATGTCAGATGTTTTTTTGTCAAATAAAATGTGATAATGTGTGCAGGGGTTTAGGACCTAATGTCTGTTTAGTTGTATTGCCATAGTATGTTTTCATTTTCAGTTTTGTTATTGATGTGAAAAGATATTTCCTGTAGAGTCCTTCTGTTGGTATAAAGTGTTAAGTACATTGAGCACTTATCCAAAGAGTGTACTGTGTTCTTTAAAGTACACTCTTTGAAAAAGAGGTGGGGAGGGGGGGCTGTCTCCAGGTCTACTGCCCAGTTCACCACCAAAAAGCATCTCACTGAAAGTATGTCTTTAGAATTCTGTTGTTATGTTTAATGATTCTTTAACTGTTGTCTTCGGTTGTAATTTATTCTACCAGCTTACAAGAAACCTACGAAACCAAACGTGTACAGCATTTGCATGACTTACAAAAGAGAGAGGATGATATGAGACACATCTTTGTACAGAAAGTTAAGGAGAAAGAAGCACAGCTCAAACAGCAAGAGAAAGAGGTAAACAAGTGTCAAACTCTTGAGGCCTATAAACAGGTTTCCATAAGAGGGGGAAGGGGGTTTCCTATCAGAGCTGTTAGGCCTACAGGGTCCTCCGCTGAAGCTGAAGCATTCAAGCATATGTTTGGTGAACTTCATCATTTGATGTTTTTTAATGCAAAGGGAGGAGGGAACCTAGGCAGTGGCGGCGCCAGGGGGGCTTAAGTCCCCCACCGGACAGGTTAAGCGCCCC